AATCTATAAATATCTATGTATCCTGCCACACTGAGAGAAGCACCACAGAGCTTAACAAGGACAGTCTCAAGAGAGATTAAATTATGGTGGTACCTGAGTTAGATTTTTAGGACAAATAAATTCCAAGGGAAGTAGATATAGACCTATTACAAAGACTCAGATACTTTGGTCAACAGCACTTTTGATCAACAAAACAATAAATCCTTTTATTTTAATTAATTTCTTATTTATTTTTCATCTTTTGTTTCTTTTAAATTTAGTTTAGATTATTTGCTATTCTTTAAATTTGTGAGGCAGATTTTTAAATTATTTTTATTGATATAAAATTTAATACCGAACATCTCCCTTAAACAGTACATTAGCTGCATTTTATAGACTTAATTTTTAATATTTTCATCATTATTGCTTTCTAGAAATTCAGATTATGAGTTTTTAAGTTTCTATGTGTAAAAGTCTTCTATTATTTTATTTTGTATCTACTTTCTACTTTTATGGCATTTGAAAAAAAGAAGGTATATTCTCTGTCTTTAAGATAGAACATTCAATAAGTATTAATCAAGTCTATCTTAGAATTATGATTTTTAGATATTTTATATTCTTATTATCTTCCCCTCTCCCCACACACTTAGCTTTCATGAACAGAGAAGGGGAAATTAAAATCTTCTGTTTATAAGTGTTTCTATTTATATTTGTATCCTTTAAAATTTCTCCTTTATGAGTGGTCCTTCTCTATCAATTGATATCCTCTGTATTTTCAAAAGCATTAAGTGAAATCTCTATCTGTTTTCTTTTGTTGCATGGCAAACTACCTAAAAGCCAGGGGTTTCCAACAACTATTATGGGTTTCTTTCATTCCGCATTCTGTAGGCCAGCTGGTCAGTGACACTTGTCTGGGCCAGTTCAGCTGCCCCTGCGAGGTCTCTGCTGCAGCTGCAGCCAGCTGACAAGGCCCATGGCAGCTGCAGCCTCTGGGATGACTGGCTGGCAGTCAGGTGTCAGGGCGACTGGACAGTGTGTCCATGTGGGTCCTTTACCTGGTGGGCACGGGTTCTAAGAGCAATATGGCAGAGGCTGCACAGCCTCTGGAGACCTAGGCTAGAACTTGGCACTTCTGCTGCTCACAATTGATCAGAGTCATTATCTAGTTTATTCCAGAGTCACATGGTTATTCAAGTGTGGACAGACTCTGTCTCTCTTTATTTTTTACATGAGAGTCTTAACCTCTTTATTTTAAAAAATAGTTTATTATTATTATTTTTTTTTGAGAGAGAGAGAGAGAAAGGAAAAGAGAGGGAGTGAGAGGGAAACATCAATGAGAGAGTGATATATTGGCCAGCTGCTTCCTGCATGCCCCCTACTGGGGATTGACCCCACAACCCTATGACCATGCCCATCCAATTGAGCCACACCAGCCAGGGCAGACTCTGTCTCTTGTTGGGAGGAACTGTAAAGTATGGTGGCATTTTTGCAGGAAATACATTAACTGTGCTGTCACTAGAGCCTGAATTGGAGACTGGAGATTGTTTCCAGGAAGACTTGGCAAGTATTCAGGAAAAGGATGCTAAAGGCTTGAACTAGAATAGTGGCAGTGTGGGCAGTTGGAAGTGAGGGAGTGTGAAGAACTGAAGACTCTTTAATTTGTGACTGCTTGCCTGGATGGTGTGTGAATAGCATGAGAGGGAGTGTGATCATAGCTCCTCTCCCCGACTCTCTTCTGTTCTGAGGGAACAGAGTATGTCTATAGATTGGTCAAGTCTGAAATCACTTAACTGAGTTACATTTCTACAGTCTGATGCTTAGTGAGATCAAAGTACTGGGGATTGCACTGTATTTGTCTATCTCTTGCGGAGGCTTGTGGTCATCCTTCCACTGGCATTATGGTGTAACTTTTACCCAACATTTGCTTAAAGCCTTCCAGGTAAGGACATTCATCCTGAATCCAACATAGCTCCCTGGGGATGTAGGAGTGAGCACCCTGATTTCAATAAAGCATTCTTCATCTGTCTTTGTCCTAGGATGAGGCTAGCAGGTGATGTACATTCAACACTTATAATGTGCCTGGAACCATTCTAAATGCCTTTTTTTTATTTTAAACAATTTAATCCATATAATAGTCCATTTAGGGAGCTAATATAATAGGTTATCATGATCATTTTCACTGAAAATTGAGACAACAGAGTTTGCCAAGTGGGTGAGCTCCACAGTGGGAAAGGGTTTGGATTTTAGCTCTGCCATTGCGTAGCTGCCTTTCTCTTGGGGACACCCAGTGGGCTGGAACTTGAGCAGAAATAGGGCAGGATGAGAAGGAATGGTTCCTGTTCTGAGAACACCTCGGGCAAGGGAGGGACTAAGCCAAGGGAGTCCTGTCTCCCCTCTGGTGGCACCGGAAACAGCGCCAGTGTTGGCATCTGTAATGTGCTACTTACTGGTATAGATACCGTGAAGAAGCACTTCTGATATTCTGGCTCTAAATTTGCTCTTGGACTATGCCAGCCTTACCTGTCCAAGGTCACACCTTTATTATAGATATATTTTTTTCTCTTTTGACTAAAAATAAAATAATGGCTACTCATCTGCTTTGGTTTAGTGAGTTTCTCTCTCCTTATCTCTAATTGTTTTGGTGTTGATGCTCTCCAACGAGACATTAATTTTGAGCAACCACTCCTCCCTTTCTGATAAGTTGTTCACCCCCCGGGGCTTGGCTTTGGTCAGACTCCATTTAGGCCACGGTTCAGATTTGCTCATTACTCTGGAGGCAAAAACCAAGAATTGGCCCCTCCATGTCCTATTAAATAAGCTTTTCTCCTGTTGAATAATTTTCCTATCAATAATGCAAAACATGAAGGCCCAATAAGAAGAGGGAAGAGTAAGCTTGAGGGCAGCTGGGAAAATCCCCAACCTTTTGTTTGTTATGTTTGGTGATGGAAACCGATTACCTAATTTGCCATCATTTGGTTCAGACTAGAAACAGCCATCAGACAATGGGGACTTGACCACAGGAGACTGTGGTTCACCAGGGGAGTCTAGAAAAGGACTCTGGTGTCGTGGAGGTTAGATTTTGTACCAGGAGATGGGAGGAGAGTAAAAACGCAGGATAAGGACAAAGGTGGAGGGCTTTTCATTAGATTTCCCAAGCGTTTCTCAATCTTAACTGAGGCTTGGTGGGAATAATCTTTCTTCCCGAATCAAGTTATATAACATTGACACTACCGTCTCAGTTATATTGCTATGTAGTTCCCAGCAGCTGTATTGTACCTGTGGATCCGGGATCCCTTCAGGTAACATCAGGAAGGGCTCCCTGATGTTTGGCCTCCACAAATGAGTATGTTAACAAATGATCCATATACAGCAATCCAACAGGCTTTCTAGGGGCATTCCTCTCGCCTCCCAATTCCTCTTCTGAGCCTGAGGAGTCGCTGGGGATTTGTCTCACTCACTGAATAGTCACATTGTATTCCAGACTCTGTCTGTGAATAGGCAGGGCATCAACTATGTGTGTGAGAAAATGTATGTGTTGTGGTTCAAAAAAAAAAAAAAGTCATTTATTAGGTATATGTTCATAAACAGGACCTGGACCGTGTGTTCCTTCTGGGGTCATTTTTCCTCCTTCTTTTAGAAACTGCTCATTTGGAGGCGCTGTGTTCACGTTTCTTTCTCAACAACACAGGATGTGATGGCCTCCCTCTTCTCATTCTACACACAAAAGAAGCCCTTACAGGGCAGAGGGAAGTCCTTGGGTCTGTGCCCCTGGGCAGGGCCAACTCCTAACAGAACTTTGGTGTGAAATGATCCGGTTTTCATCACCATCCACTGCCTTTCTGCACCCTCTGTGACAGTAAGAACTCAGCGCCCTTGTGCTTTTTCCTCTGGTTTAACAAGTGGTCATGGAGGCAGTGAGGGGTGGTGCTCACACATGTGGATTTTGGACTCAGAGTATCTGGGCTTGAATTATGGTTGTGCCATTTGCTGGCTGTGTAACCTGAACAAGTTACACCCCAGTCCTAAGTGTCAGCATCTTAAAGTGAAAGCAAAAATAGTCCTACTTCATGAGATCATTACTGATAATGATACCTAAGTGAGACCACAGAGCTAGCCCTCTGCTGGAAAGACAGTTAAAGCTCCATACATGTTAGTGATTATTATTGGACATTAACTAGTTCTATGAGACACTGAGCTAGGGCTGTGGGAAATATAAAGAACTAGAGGCCCAGTGCATGAAATTTGTGCACTGAGGGCGGGGGTCCCTCAGCCTGGCCTGCGCCCTTTTGCAGACCAGGAGTCTTCAGGAGATGTCCAACTGACGGCTTAGGGCCTACGCCATTAGTCAAACATCGTTAGTGCTGCCATGGAGGCAGGAGAGGCTCCCCATTGCCACTGTGCTCACCAGGGCTTCTGGCTGAGCAGTGCTCCCCTGTGGGAGCACACTGACCAGTAGGAGGCAGCTCCTGCATTGAGCGTCTGTCCCCTGGTGGTCAGTGCACGTCATAGTGACCAGTTGTTCTGCCGTTTGGTTGATTTGCATATTAGCCTTTTATCATAGGATCTTTTATTTCTAGAAGTTCCACTTTGCTCTTTCTATTTTATTTTATTATATATATATATATATATATATATATATATATATATATATTTAATTTATTTCAGAGAGAAAGGGAGAGGGAAAGAGAGATAGAAGCATCAATGATGGAAGAGAATCATTGATTGGCTTCTTCCTGAATGCTTCCCACTGGGGATCAAGCCACAACTCAGGCATATGCCTTTGACTGGAATCAAATCCAGGACCCTTTAGTCCACATGTGTCAAACACAAGGCCCGCAGGCCAAATCCGTCCCGCCAGGCCTTGCAATGTGGCCCGCACCGCGCTGTCATCACTGCACTCCGCTGCGTTTCCATCACAAGGACAGTTTATGACTGTTCAGTAAACCATTCGGCCCGCGATTTAGGCTGGATTTTAGATTTTGGCCCTTCTCTGATTGAGTTTGACACCCCTACTTTAGTCCATGGGCTGATGCTCTATCCACTGGGACAAACCAACCAGGGTACATTTTGCTCTTTTCTATATCTTCTATTTATCTCATTATGTTAATGCTTTCCTTTAAGTTCCTCAACATATTTATAATAGCTGTCTAAAATTCTTGTCTGCTTTCAATCATTATTGTTTTTTTTAGTCTATTTATATTTCCTGATTTTGATTCCCACTTTCCTGCTTCTTCCCAGTAGTTGCTAAGTATCTAAATTTTTTGTTCTTCTTTTAAAGAGCAGCTTTACTTGGAAGACAGTTAAATTGCCTGCAGATCAGCTTTCAAGACTTGAATGTAAGCTCTGTTGGTATGGACTTATGGTGGCCTTTAATCTAGGGCTATTTAGCCTTAATATTAAGGCATGGCTCTTCTGGGGTCTCCATTAACCATACCAGATGTTCAAAAAGGCCTCATTACTGTGTGGGATCAGAACTCTGCCATCTCTCAATTCCCTGTTAGCGCTGGAACTTTTTTAGCCTACAGCTTCCTAGTAGTTTGTTCTGTTATCAGTAATTATTCTTTGACCAACCACTTGAAATCTCATTGTAAGTATGCAGGGCACAGTATGCAGCTAAAGACTCAGTGAAACTCCCGTGCAGATATTTGGGGCTCTTTATCTGGGCAATGCCCTTCTCTCTGATACACTGGTCCACAAAGTCCAGCCACATCAGCCTCCCTGATCCTCGATCTATTTCTCCAACTCAGTGAGACCACCGTGCTGTTTAGAAATCCCTTCCACATATAATACTATGTATGATCCAGAAAGTTTCTCCAGGCAGAAAATCAGGGACATACATTTTAGGGCTCTCTCCCTTTGTTTCCCTTCTCTCAGTGATCAAAATTCTGCACTGCCATTTGTGCAATGTTTGCAAACAGATGTGTCATAAACTGTCCAGTTCTTTCTTTATTTACAATGAAGAAAGGCCCCCGGGACCCAGGCTTCCCTCTCCGGCACTGGCAGGCACGTGGGACCGGGCTTATCTTCCAAGCCATTCCTGGCTTGTCTGGAATGACGTCCGGTCTAATTAGCATATTACATTTTTATTATTATAGATTGTATCCCATCAAACACTCAGAGTTTCTATCTTATAGAGGAGACAAATAAACACACAATAACAACAGGAAATATAGGATGGGGGTAGACATTTGCACCATAGTTCTTCAGAAGAAGGCTTTACACAGACTCTAGACTTCTAGCTGAGTTCTGAAGTGACAGTGCCCTTTAGATAGGAAAGCATTTCTTTTTTCCTCCGTATTGAAGCTTATTCTCTAGAAAGAGTGCTGATTAAACCATCTGTGCATTGACATGAATTTTTAGAAGTCATCTTTTATGAAGTTATATACATTTATAACACTGTCTTTAGTTATAAGAAACTTCATACTCTTAGAGACATTGCTAAGCAAGGGGTAAAGTTTATTCTTGGGCAGAAGGATCTTCCCAGAACAATTGAAATGACACTATGTATTGGTTATGTTTTTGTTTTTTTTTTCCAGCTGGCAAGGGTTATGCTTAACTCCCGTCATATTGGAAAAATGGCTTCCACTGAGTGGGTGAGCTAATTCTTCCTTTTTGCTGAACCAGAGTCAGGCTTTGCTTAAAATGCAGCCATTTCCCCTTCTGCTGAGAGGTGTTTGTTCTGAGGCTACATTAAGGTCTAGTTGGATATCTTTTCTTGCCAGTGGTCACAGATTTCAACAGTGAAACTACTATTATGTGTGTGACTCTGCTCACAAATATCTATGTTGTCTTTTCTTCATTGGAGAGGAAAATTAAAACTATAATTTGATAGAAAAAGTTTCCATAGCAACAGCTTACAAAAGCTGAGAGATTCTAAAAAGTAAAGTCAGGTGACCTGAAATTATACAATGAGCTGAACAATTACATCTAAATTCAGGTTGAATTTTGGATGCTGTTTCTCACTAGGAGACATTGTTAGGTTGAATTGGTATCAGTCAGCTTAGATATATACTTAAGTTGCTCTTTAAATCATTCATTCATTTAGGGTCACATGGTGTAGTAGATGTAAAAGAATGACAACTAAACAGCACACATCACATTACTGATTCTGCAATAACCTTGTGTAGTTGTGAATTAGAGAATGTGGATAAGCCAACTTAACCATGATATAAGCCTGAATCATGAGATGGAATTCATATGTTTTACCAGTCCCCAAAAGAACCAGTTCTATCAGTGGAAAGTAACAGGAGGTACCTGATACTATTCCAGTCCTAGGTTATTTTGTTTTTGGGGAGAGGAACTAGATTTTATTTCTAAACTTGGTTCCAGGGAGTCTGTAGGCCTGTCCATAAATACTGGGTACAGGTCAAAATGATCTTATTAAGACAACACACAAAGGTTGTAGGTGTCTAGCTATGCATTCTGCTCATTATTTCTGTGAGGCAAACTTCATTAATCTGAACATGTCCATCGACTTTCCTTAAAGTCCAGAAACTTAGTCATATTGATTCTTTCTCTTTCAACACCTATGGATAAGTCTAAAAATCTATGAAATCTAGATCATCTCCCATTTTCACTGTCCGAGTTCAAGCCCCCGTCACTTTTTAGACTGTTGTCTAATGTCTCCTTGAATCCCATTCTCAGACTTTGCAAGTTAATCCCTTCTCATACTAACCACACATTTTCATAAATAAACTGACCAAAACACCACACTATTTAAAAGTAATCAATAGTATTCCATGAATAAATTATTATAGTGAATGATCAGATGATCCTAGAATTTCTGCTTTTCATAATTGCGTTTTCACTCAAAGAGCTTAAAGGATCCTCAAAAATTTAGAAAAGATTTTTTGAGGGTTAACAGAGCCAAGAAGTGTGAATGGCTTCACTGCTTAGTGCAGACTGCTGTGATTTTTGTCCTGGACCATACATTAAACTGTTACCTTAAGGATGATAACCAGAAGCCATCTCTCCAATCAACTAAGAATGCACATGAAATTCCCTGATTGGATATTAGTGTATTTCACTCTTTCTGCTTGTTCTCTCTTTTTTGGTAATATGAGTTTTTAATATCACCTAAGTCAGCAGTCAACACATATTAAGGTTTATATTATGCACAGAAGCTGTCTTTCATTGTATCCTCAAGTTTCATTGTTAGTTGGAGCAGCAAGAACACAGTCATATTAGAAACCTAATGGGCTTTGGGTTAGATGGAACTGGCTTATATTATTCTGTCTCATGAACCATTCAAAAGCCTCCTTTTTTGTTTTGTAAAATGGTGAAAATAACAACAAACTTCATAGAGTTGTTGTGATTAGTAAATAAGGTGTGTATTAAAAAAATATTATAGGAAGATGATGTCATCAAGATGGTAACATAGTTTGTTTCCAATTCAGTCCACTCCCCTACCCCGAGAAGACAAACTAACAGCTATGCACAGACAAGATACCACTGTGAGAATATAATAACGGGGCAACATTGAAACACTCCCCCCCTCATCCCCCCTACAATACAGAGACTGAGAAGGACTGCATTCGGAGCAATTTCACCTGGACCACATGGCCCCTCCTCCGGGCTAGTGCCCTGCAATGGGAGTCTTGCTAGCCCCTCTCCCTCTTCCTCCCTGGCCCCACGGTTTCTCCAGAGGGAGAGAGCCCGAAGTGGACATCCAGTGACCCCAGCACTGTGGGATGCTTCCTGGGAGGCCCACTCAGTTTTTGCCTCATGGGGATTTCTGAGGGAATCTGCGAGGCTCAAGCGCTGGGGACCAGATACCATAGAGACCGAGAAGGGGACAGGGTTCACAGCGACCAGCACTCACATCTTGGTGAACCACATTCCACTTGCAGGAGCGTCCAAGAAGAGCTACCTGCCAGCAGCTCTGCCCAGATGTAGAGCCGAGTAGGTGGCCTGCCTGCCCAGGGAGCATGGTTGGCAGTCCTGCCTGGTTTGGGTCTTGGGTCAATGGGCTGTATCAGCTGTGGAGTTCAAATATTCAGGCTTGCCCAACTTTGGGACATAACCCCACGCCCTGCCTGGCCAGGAAGCCTGGCCTGAGAACCTGGGCAGTTGTGGAGCCCATCTTCCTTACATCTCTGCTAGGGCAGGGAGCCATGCCACCAACGCTGTCCAATTGTAAGCTTACTCTCCTGCCTTGCATAACTAGGGAGCCTAAACAGTAATTATGGGCACCCCAGAGCCCAGCTTATCATACCAGTTGATAGTGGAGGCAAACCCTGCTCAATTGCTGAATACAGCCCAAGTCCTTACCAGGCAAGGAGGCCACATTATCACGGAGCTTAGCTTGCAGTTCCAGCTGACCAGGGAGCCTAGACCGTGACCCCACCTGATTTTGGAGCACAGTTTCCCGTCCCATCCAACTTTGGGACACAGCTGGAGGCCCTACCTGATCAGAGAGCCTAGCCAGTGACCTTGCCCAACAGCAGAGCATGATAGCAACCTACCAGATTGCAAAGCCCAGCCTGGGCCCCGCCTGAACATAGAGTCCGGCCAGAGGCACTGTACATTTGGGGAGCTCAGCCAGAGCTCCCACTTGATCTGGAGCAATTACAGAGTCCAGCTTACAGCCCCGCCCAATGGCAGGGACCAACCAGTGACACCAATCCTGCCAGGGAACACAATCTGCAACCATAGGTGATACAGAGTCCGGCTAGAGGACTTACCTGACTGTAGAGCACAGACAGCACCTTGACCCATCAGAGAGCCTGCCCAGTGACCCAGCCTGGACATGGGCCCAGACAATAGTACTGTTGTATACCCCAGAGCTGTGGCATCACCCATCCAGAGATACTAATGAGAAGATCCGCCTACCTTTGGATGCTATCAGCAGATCCATACAGTAATCCAGGTTGAGCTGTCTGGTGGTCTTTCCTTACCATAGCAAACCTGTAAAGTCAGGAATAGGGGATTGCTTACTCAAATGTGCAGATATCATAAAGAATCATGTTAACATGACACCACTAGAGAAAATTATAAGGCTCCCATAGCCGACCTTAAAGAACTAGAGCTTCAGAACTGGCTGAATTCAGAATAATCCTTCTAAAGAGGTTCAGTGTGAGAAGAATGTGGGGCCAAAGGCATTTTGATAAAGAACAAAGTGGTATTATGCTCTCTATACCATTGAGCTACAAAAGCTTTATACTACAATAATAACAACAGTTTTGTAGCTCAATGGTATAGAAGATAGAGAGCCAGAAATATAATCCATGTTGAGTTTACTTTGTATATTCTTGCTTGTATGGTCAACCAATGTATGAGAAAGGATGTAAGAATATACAATGGAATAAAGACAGTCTCCTCAATAAGTGATGTTGGGAAAAATGAATATATATATATACATAAAGTTTGACCACTCTTTTACACCATATACATGGATTAAAGACTTAAATGTAAGACCTGAAACCATAAAACTCTTAGAAGAAAACATAGGCAGTAAATTTTTTGACATAACTTTTAGCAATATCCTTTTGAGTATGTCTTCTCAGCCAAGGGAAAACAAAACAAATGGACTACATCAAACTTAAAAAAAATTGCACAATAAAGGAAACCATTAACAAAACAAAAAGACCACTGAACAGGAGAAAATACTAAAAAATAATATATATGTGATAAGGGTTTAATGTCCAAAATATATAAAGAACTTATGTGACTCAACACCAGAAAAAAATCCAATCCAATTAAGAAATGGGCTGAGGACCTGAATAGACATTTCTCCTAAGAGGACATTCATATGGTCAATAGACAGGTGAAAAGATGCTCAATATCACTAATCATCATAGAAATGCAAACTAAAACCACAATGAGATACCACCTCACATCTGGCAGCATTGCTGTCAATAAATCAACAAATAACAAGAGCTGGCAAGGGTTTAGAGAAAAGGGAACCCTCATGCACTGTGGTGGGGCTGTAAATTGTTGTGGCCACTTTAGAAAACAGTATGGAAGCTCCTCAAAAAATTCAAAACAGAACAATCGTATCATCTGACAATCCCATTTCTAGATAAATATCCAAAGTAAATAAAATCATTATCTTGAAGAAATATCTGCACCCTCATGTTCACTGCAGCATTATTTACAATAGCCAAGATTATCTATCTATCTATCTATCTATCTATCTATCTATCTATCTATCTATCATCTACCTACCTATCTATTTCATCTATCATCTAATATTATTCAGCAATTAAATAGGGAAATCTGGCCATCTGCAACAACATGGGATGAAACTGGAAGGTATTATACTATAGGAAATATGTTAGACAGAGAAAGGCAAATACTACATGATCTCACTTATAAAAAATTCCAGTCAGAAACAGAAAGCAGATTACTGGTTGCCAGAAATGGGGTTAAAGGTGAGAGAATTGGGTGAAGAAGGTCAAATGGTAAAATTTCAGTTATAAGATGAATAATATACAGCATGGTGACTATAATTAACAATACTGTATTGTGTCCTTCAAAGTTGATGAGAGTAAATCTTAAGTTCTCAACACACACACACACACACACACACACACACACACACAAATGATAACTATGTGAGGAGATGGATGTGTTAACTAACCTTATTGCTGTGGTCATCACCTCACAATATACACATATATCAGTTCATCATGTGCATACCTTAAAATTACACATTACTATATGTCAATTAATAGTATATAATAATAAAGCTTAAAAAAAGTGTTGTACAGTGCCAGGGAAATAGTTCTCAAATAATATTATCTATTGTCCACATTATTTATGAAAACAGGAGCTTCCCCACAAAGTATCTCTCAATTATCCTAAAGTAGCATTTTTGATATGTGACAGTGGAAATGAAGGAAACTATTGGGGTATTTAAGCAAAAATATACCTTAAAGAAAGTGAATGTAAACTCAAGGGTGGGGAGAGACAAGAAAAGTAATATATATATTTAAAACATTAATTCTCAGTCCTATCTTTTTCTCTATCCTGGTTTCCAATATCTCACGAAGTCAAGATATACTGCCTGTTTAAAGGGAATTAGGACTTCTCTGTCTAGGTTGGCAATGTAGGCTGGTCTTCCTTATCTGCCTGGCCTAATATAAATAAGAAAGGGGGAAAATATGAATATTCACCATTCAGTGAAAATGACAGGATGGCTGTGATAGACCAGGATGGCTGAAGTCAAGTGTGAGCTTCATGAGTTCCCTTTGTCCTTTTTGCTTTTCTAGAAGGACTGGGAAGTATTATAGTATGAACTATTTTCTAGAAAATTCAAGTGGTAGAGAGGTAAAATAGGTCATTTAGGCTAAAGGATCTCTATTTGATTTTTTTTCTAACTTAATCTTAGGATCGAAGAATCAAGCTTTGAATTGAGCTTTGAGGTACACTGAGAGGAAAGTCATCCCAGCTTCTGAAGGAGGTGGGCTATGCTTTGAAAGACATGTTCACCTAGCATGCTTCTAAGCAGTTACATCTTGGTCCAAACATTGGGGTCGGAATAAGAATGGAGATTTCTGTGCCAAATACCACACCCACATTCAAAATACTCTACTCAGGCCATTCCATACTGGCACAGAGAGTCTGCTCCTCTGAAATATATTCTTTTGCTGCAAGTTTTCAACTTACACTCCATTTCTTATACATTCTAGTGATTCCACTGATAAAATATTAGAAAAGCAACCATTAGACTCTGATAGCTATATTTAAAAATTACTTAAGTAAAAATTACTTCCTTAATTCATTTATTCATTCATCTACTTTTGCCACAAGCATCTTAAACAGTCAATAATCAGAAGAGATTGTACCTTTTCCTATGGAAGTAATGGGTAAAGAATATATGTTTTTTTTTGTTTTTGTTTTTGTTTGTTTGTTTTTTTACCTCTTAAAGCATCTGTAAAAGATACATATATCACTGTTGGATTTTTGTCAGGCTCTTAAGAAATACAATTCCTAGGAATTTTTGTTTGTTTGTTTCCACTGGAGTTTGGGAAGTGTCCTGCACTCATCCATTTTGAGTGTAACTCTCTAATCATAGTTGAGCATAAGGAGGTTTCTTGGACTCTAATAAAGTAACTAAGGTTGTGGTCTGTCATGGCAATTGTGTGGATAGACAGAGCCAGCCACAGCTATTATCTTCGCATACGCACTGAGACTTATTTTGGTTAATGTGTTCTTACAAGCTATCTATCTAATTAGATGTTTGAAGAACATGATTCATTTTGATGCAATTATCCAATGGGTGTATTTGCTTTCTATTTCTAGCTTACATCCAGTCTATCAATGTAATAATACCTCACCTGGTGCCAAAGATAACAGAGGACTTGGCAGAACTGGCTGCCTACACAGTGTATCAACAACAGAGCTGATCTGGCACCTGACAGTTGGGTTCATTTCAGAAAATCCATTATTAACATTTTATTAGCCAATAATGAATAAACAGGTTTGGAGCTTTCTTCTCCCCCATGCTATCTTATTTTATACAATCAACATTGTGTGGAAATTGTCTTGCCTTTCTGGTCCTACATTAGTTTTCAAAGCAGAGTAGTCAATAAATCTTCATAATGGACTCAGACTGTACCAGGATTACAGGCCAAAGATAGAGGGTTATGGATATTTTTTAAAAAGTTGAGGAGGAAGCCAATGAGCTCGATCATAAAAAACCTTAGTTGTTGGGACTTATGACATATATGATAAATTTAAGCTGAAGCGGCTTGGCCTGGACGAATGGTAGTATAACTCGAGGGATATTAACCAGATAGACTGCTTTTGAATTAATATGTATATATACTCAGTGATTTATTGCCCTGGCATGTATAAGCATATACAACTACAGATGCTTTGGGGCTTTATCAGGCTATGCCATGCCAGGCATCTCGTTTGATAACAGAATGATGCTTCAGGTTGAGGGACAGTTAGGGTCTCACACACCTTGTATTTGATAAAAACATACACAGCTATCTATCATGTATAACTAGCAGGGAAGAAATATCTCTTTCCACATCAGAAACATTTCAGATGTCAACATGCTACTAAGTTCAGGACACTAGAGAGCAAGATGTTACCATGGTAAGAAATATCACTATTTCTGAATCAATATTTATTTATTAAAACTGTATATTTTCAATAGACATAGAATTGAGATAGGAATGATTTAAACAGGTAGATGATAACCAAGATCTTCCTAAATTGTCTGATAACAACTATGTTAGGACTTTAAACATCTTTTTAAAAAATTTTTATTAATATGACGGTGGGGAAATGTATTAACAACCATAATTTTTAATACTTGCATAGTCTTTATCTCATTTGATTATTATAGCCATTTTGTATTATTATTTTTTATTGATTGATTTGAGAGAGAGAAAGAGAGAGAGAGGAAGAGAGAGGGAGAGAGGGAGGGAGAGAGAGAGAGAGAGAGAGAGAGAGAGAGAGAGAGATAAAGAAGAGAGAACAAAACATCATTGTTCCACTTATTTATGCAATCATTGGTTGATACTTGTATGTTCCCTGGCCGGGGATTGAACCTGAAACTTTGGTGTAACTGAGCTACCTAACAAGGGCTGCCATCTTGTATTATTAATACCTACTAATCCTAGGTCATGCCATTAGGAAGATTAGGAAATAGGTTTAGAAAAGTTAAATGACTTTCCCTAAGTCACTCAGCTAGTGGTAGGTGGTAGTAGTGGGATTCGAACCCCAGTCTTTAACTGAATCAGTATGCTCCTTTCATTTTCCAGTTTTGTCTCTCTTTGTGATCGCTAGGGTCTGTCTCTGCTAAGAAGACAGCTCCATAAGTGATTGTAAAAAATTACACCACTGTTGACAAATAGGCACATGCTTTGAATCAGTTCTGCCAATGTCCTCCTTATAGAAACTCCACATCCAGTTATAGTTCCTCTCGGATCTCCTAGTGTATCAAGACGATTCTGGGAAGAGTACACAGTGCTTCTTCCAAGTCTGTCTGTTATTATTTCAATCATCATGTTTTCTGGGTTTTTGAGACCATTTTCAACAGTCCTCAAAGCATTCTTCTTTTTATATAATACTGCTAACCAGAACATTTTAGATAAATGACCTAGGATACTTGTTCATTTGATCAGCTTTGTAAAGTTTTCTAAATCCTTTCTACCTAGTATGAACTTTTTCATCAGTTCTTCTAGCAGGGCCATCTATTTTTTATTTACTTATTTAATAGGCTCTCTCAAAAGGAGAACAAAGATTTCCCTGCAAGAAGAATCTTCTCAAAATCTTACCAGTTCAGGAAACCACACATAATGGAAGTGGAAAGAAAAGGCAGATTTTACCAAACCCATTTTACTTCTCAAAGGGCCACTGCATCAAATAAAAATATATATGCTTTATTCTTTCTATTATCTTTGCCCCCTTCCTTTCATTTGCTCTCTTGTGCAATCTCTTTTTCTCTGTTTTAGAGTAGGATTTATGGTGGCTTCAAATGGCAAACAAAATACAGCAAGTGAGCCAAAACCGGTTTGGCTAAGTGGATAGAGCATTGGTCTGGGGATTGAAAGGTCCCAGGTTCGATTCTGGTCAGGGGCATGTACATTGGTTGCTGGCACATCCCCAGTAGGGGGTGTGCAAGAGGCAGCTGGTCAATGTTTCTCTCTCATCAATGTTTTTAGCTTTCTATCCCTCTTCCTTCCTCTCTGTAAAAAATCAATAATAATAATAATAATAATAATAATAATAATAATAATAAAACATAGCAAGTGACACAAGGATGAATTAGTGAGGAATAAAAAGATATCAATAATAGGAAGAAAGTAAAATGCTCTGTGAATTCAATACTTCAAAGGAGAAGGCTAGCACCAAGTACATTGCTTGATAAATACTCAAACAATGCTATGATTTCTGCATGATCATTTTTTAAAATATATTTTATTGATTTTAGAGCAGGCCGATGCTCTATCCACTGAGCCAAACCCGTCTCGGCTCAGCATGATCATTTTTAAGTGAATGCAGATCACTGACACTCAAAAAACCTCCCAGAAAATTTAACTGCCCAATACATGTGCACATGTGTCATTATTCACATTTTGCTGTGTTTATTTTCTAATGTCTCGTTACTAACTTGCAAGCTCAGAAGGGTAGGACTTTCACTTATTCAAGAGTGGAACCACGCCCATGCCCCACTGTATTTCATATAAGACACACCAGCTGACCTCCATCTCTTTCCCTAAGACTTTTTTTTTTTTTTAAAGTTGAAGAAAACCACTTGACTCATGCATAGAAATTAGTGCCCCTCTACCAAAAACAACAGTAATTGGTGTATGGATACTCCCTTGCCTCTCAAGCAAGACAATTCCTGGTTGCACATTTCCTGGGTGCTTCCAGGTCTAAGTCCTAGTCACCCACAGCAGTGCCATCTTGCTTTTCTTGGCCATCTTCTTCTTTCAGTTTCCCACTCCTCAACTAAATGAATTGCTCAAACATTAACCCTTGCTTCAGCATCTACCTTTGCTAGAACCCAAATTACGACAATAATTATAGCTTTACAGTCTACCTCAGGCCTAACACAACTTGATTAATTGAAAGACATAATTCAAGACAAATTTATTGTTTGAAATTAAATAATTATATTTATTGCTATTCCCTAAAAAGCTTTGTTTGTTTACACAAAGGGTTAGGGTATTGAATCTCTAAGCTCATTTCCAAATTTCACTCCTTAGGTGGGGGAGGTGGTGGTCTATCTGAGGACTGGAGGTATGAAGTGGCCACACTGTAGCCTTTGAAGCAGAAAGCACCCCATGCTCACTCCTTCACTAACAAGGGAAGCAAGAAAGCCTGGCATCTTATAGGCCTTTTCCATTATGGGGCAAGAGCAGAGGGATGAAAACCATGTTCCAGTGGTTCCAGACCCTTTTGAGGATTTAAATTACCTTATTTTTATGTCTTCATGGTACACAACCTGAGGATACCCCAATTGCACACTCTTCAGCACTAGGCAGAGTTTTTGCCTCCTCTTACCATGGAAAACTGTAGTCAGTGACCAGGTCAGCATCATGGAAATTTAATTACTTGTCACCTACAGTTTTTTATTTTATTTCACTTTATTTTATTTTGGTTTTTGTTAATCCCCTCCCCATGAATATTTTTCCATTGATTTTTAGAGAGACTTCAAGAGAGAGTGAGAGACAGAGAGAGAAACATTGATGTGAGAGAGACACCTAAAGTTTAGAGTAAATCCCTCAGTAACCAGATATCTGTTGCCTTTCTCAGGTACTCCATCTGGCTGTTCTAGGTCCTCAGTCGTACTAGGTACACCAAAATATACATTTCTGGATTCTCTTAGAAGTCCATCAAAAGACTTAGAAATTCTGAGTCTTTGGCACTAGTTGGCTGAAACTGGGTAACTGCTGTCCTATTTTGTGGAAAAGCTTTTAGCTAGCTGAGAACTCAGTCAGAGTCACCAATATAATGTGGCTGTCTCAGAGCAATGCAATGCTAAGTAGATTAATGGAAATATATATTTTTTGGTCCAGAAAATGGCTAATGATGCTAAGTATTGCTAAGACCTACAACTGGATCTGGGGCTCACTTTTGATACCATGGTCTAAGTGGAATATTGACAGATGAGAGTGTATTTGGAGGATAGAACTAGATGAGAATCCTGTATTGTACTTGGAGTGTTGAGGTATGACAAATGAGAAGACATTAGATGTAAAGATTGATATGTATTTTTATACAAAAATCATTTATAGTTATACTGAGTGCCATGGGTATATAATTTTATTTCCTAAAAACTGGAATTGTCCAAAACTGTACTAGGTTGCCTCAGGAGATATTTTCATTATTGTGAGGTACAGCAGAAGAGCATGGATATGTAGACATATAACAGTCGCAGAAAGTTTTTACTAGATGATCTCCAAGTGTCCTTTGAAGTTCTGAAGATTTTTGAGTCCTATAAGCATAAACACTAAATAATCTCTCCTTCATTTGATTTCAAAATCAGACCTAATTTTCAAACCATATTTTTCACTGAAGTATATTCAATACAACCATTCATTTCTGTACTCGCTATCTTATGAGGTCATAATGCCTATCCATTCACCTCCAACCCCCACTGTCTGGCACAGAATGAAGTCTGAATTTGTGCTTCTTAGATTAATGTGAATTTTTTAATTATAGAATTCTTTGGGGATATTACTGTCACTGTTAATCCTTTTATAAATTCAACAGTAGAGATTCTTTTTCATAGACAGTTAAAAATTTTTTTAAACCACCTGTTCCTTTGTTCTCTTGATATTGTGTTGCTCAAACTGTGGTCTGCACCTGCTGGGGTTGTGATTGTTGGATCATATGTTCTCAGGAAATTTGGTAGTTTTAGAGCAAAGGGTGATTATATAATTTTAGTCAATATATTTACCATATTTGAAATATGAGAATTGGGATTTTTCTAGAAAGTCTGTAATAGATTTAATAACTTTATTTTGAAGATGCCCATCTACTATAAATATTGTATTGGTCACTTTATCTTGCCTAATGTTTTTATGTAATATAATAATTTTTATTAGTTATATTTGCAATTATATTGTTGTTAGTATTGTTTTTGCAATTGTCCGAATCCACAACAAATGAACTGGTGGTGCAAAAGCTGTTCATTAAGGTGTTAAGGTAGTAATAAAAATAGTAAAAGAAACCCTATGATTTATGACATGTAAATTTGAATAGTAAACACATTTTGATCTCAATACTTAGTATGAACATGTATGGGCTGAGTGAGTAAATCTGCAGTGTTACTGTTTTGCGCAAGAAAAAATAAAACGTAAATAGGATGCATGATAAATAGCTAAAAATGGGGTATTATTGCCATTGAGGCCTATTGGTCACTTGCTGTTATAAATTTGTCAAATGCAAGAATAAAGCCTTGAAATATTTTCATAATTTCATAAGTCAAGGTAGGGGAGGTCTAAATACAAGTCAGTGAGTGATCTGCAGTATGGAATGTGTGAACTGTGTCGCTATACCATATTTTCCGGCGTATAAGACGACTTTTGAAACAAAAAAAGTCAACCAAAAATCGGGGGCAAAAGACCAAAATTGCACAAAAATTACCTGCAGATCTTGACGGCAAAGTAAGTCTTTTCTTTGAAGTGGGGGGTAGTCTTATACAGCAAATATAGGCCTAAACCTATGTTTTAACTGTAAAATTAGGGGGTTGTCTTATACGCCAGAAAATATGGGTAAGTAGTGATGAGCCCCAAACTTCCAAGTAGCCAGAGTTGCATTTCCCATGGCAAAATCAATTACAAAGGACACAATTTCTGAGAAAACGTAAAAACTTGCCACTAACATCTATGCTTGTGTAGAGGAAGAAGGAGGGGAGTTGGCAAAATCATCTTCTCAAAGGGCACAGTGGAAAGTTGTGTAATGCCAGTGGCCCAGCCTGCAAAGCCAGGTGTGTGCCAGCAGGCGCAGGTCTGTGGTGCCACTGAGTGAGCATCATCTCTGGCACACGAGGGAGAAGTGCCTGATGCCTTCCTGTCTCTTCATCACTAAAACCCGTCTCACAGCC